TCTTAAGAATTCTGATACTCAAGCAGAATTCAGATCCAACGCATAGAGTTACTTTACGAGAAAAAGCAGAATTCTGCTAAGAATTCTGTTACTCCAGCAGAATTCAGATCCAACACATAGACTTACTTTAAGACAAAAAGCAGAGCTGTGCTAAGAAATATTTATCTTCAATAGGATTTTGAATTATTTGTTTGTTTATGCTTTGAGAGAATGCTGTTTCTGATGCAGAATAGAATATTCGTTCAGTCGTATCCGAGATATATATTTTAATTCTGCTGATATTTTCGCGATGGGTGTTTCATCAGGCAGTGTTATTTTTATTCAAAATGGAGAATAGTTTGGCATCCAAATCTGTAGTTCCCTTGGGCATATCATCGGTTTTAGGATTTGACGTACAAGTTGGGATAGGTTCTGCATCGAGTGGTTTGTCTTGGGCTGTTGTAGACGATCGCTGTGTGTGTTCAAGATGGCATAATGAAACAAGATCGACTTCGGGACAGACATAAGCCTTTAAAAAGAAAAGGCAATGTTTTTATTAAGGATGGTGGCTACATACAACATCAAATACGGAAGATGGTGATTTTTGGATAGTTGATAAATTTTTTAAATTAAATAAGGTAAGCATGAATAGTGGAGCACGTAGATAACCCATGTTACTCATAATGCTAGCATATTGCTTTAACCACGAGAAGGTTTGTTCGGCTGCTTGCGTATTCACATCATTCAATACTGAAATGCAAAGAAAAGGAATTCTATCGTAATTAAGAAAAGGTTTTTTCTAACATGGATTCTTGTCTGGATTCATATTTTTACGGCAAAAGTCTCCAACATGATTGCGAAAATGACTACGATCGACGCTGATCGGAGTTGAAGCAAGAAGTTCCATTTCAGAAGTCTTCGCAAGATCTCTGCCAATATGATTTTTGACGTATTTCACTAGATGACATCCATCATCATAAACTACTGTTGGTGCTAATTTACCAGCAACTATTAAATAAAGAAAACATTTTCTTAACAATACACAAAAGAAATACATAAAAGCATACCACGTATAGTAACAGCGAACAGATTAATAATTTCTCTCAATGTTTCGGATCTGTATAACTCACTGAATGACGTAATTATGCGACAGTTGGTTACAATTGCAATTATACCAAATGATCTGGTACAAGCTTTTGTGTATTCATCAGATCGAGCTTTCAAGGTACGACAACTAGTTGCGTTCAAATGATTATCATTTTTATTTGAGTTGTTATAATGTTGATGGAATTTTTTTCTCGGGAAGTTTTTCCTACGAATACGTGTTTCAGATTGATGCAAGGTTTCAGTTGTTGTTCTGCTATCGTGTAGTGTACAATAACGAGATGATGTAGCTGGAGTTCGACAACAACCAATCACTAAATTTGTCATTTCTTTTGTATTTACTTGTACATCTTTAAATGCACATATACGACGGCTACACTTTTGGTGTCCATCCACGATTAGACACTGCGAGCAATGTTCATCACAAGGTCCAATTATTGTACGATCAGAGATGTCATAATATCCTAACACTGGGTATCGTCGACATACCAGTCACGATATCCATTCAAGTGGATATCTAAAATGAATACTAAAATGAATACCCATGTTTCTCATAGCTGAGGAATTTGAGTGCATTTGGTGTAACGAGA